TGAGGAGTTTGGATGGTACAACAGAAACACAATTTAGTACTCTCTTCCCCTCCATCTACTTGTTTCTCTTTGATTGCTTGAAATGATGACATTACAAACCAAGATCCACAAGAGTGGGAAGTACAGGTACCAGAAAATTGCCAAACGGAGAATCAAATATTCTAAAATTGGCAGTGCAACCATCTTGTTGTGCCTGTGCTACTGCCAAGTTCCTCGCCTGTTGTATCTTGACATTGGTCCCACTTGGTTGTCCCGCATTAACCTGCATCCAACAACGCTTAGGCAAAGTTTATTAATACTCTTCTTCTTTTAAAGTCTTAGTAGTTCGTATTTCAAATATTCTTTTTGCACCCAAATATAAAACTATAATACATTACACATTACTATTACACAAATTTTCAACACATGATCCTAAGTTACTTTGTAATCTGTAGCACCTGAAAACCGTCACAAAGCCAGTTTAAAAATCAGATAAACAGAAACCTCATATAAGTTCAGAAGATGCATACTTTTGGTTTATAATCCTTAGATGTTGAAACTGTGTACTTCTCTGGTGAAAAGGATACAGGCCTGCACAAAAATAGGCAATAAGATAAATCCCGGAAAACTGAAAGTTCAGTGTTAAAACTATTGCTATGTCTCATGATAAGCAAAACATCATATTATTTGATTACATTCATATGTTTGGTCATACGGGAAGCTATGAACATTTTATTAGGCCACACCTAGTTTCTAACGGGCTTAGATTTTTTTGAATATAAAGGATTGGCTTTTATATTATAATCGAGAAAAGATACAAGATAACAATCAGCCAGTTATGACAGATCAGATTGTGAGCCTTGGGAATAGACATAGAATCAGCCACCTCATACAAAGCAATCTGATTCGCTAGACACGAAACGGGCAATTTAAAGCCTGAAACATACTCAAACTAAAATAAAGACAAGCATTACTAATGGAAAAATAAAATTGAAATAAAATCTTTCCACAAAACTCTTCATGCCACAGAGGTGGTTTTGGAGGAGGACGAGCTCTACCAATGTCTTCGCACTCTAAAAGAAGGAAAACAGAAACCCCTGACCAGACGAAGCTAGCTGGAACACCAAAAGAACTCCCCACATCAAGAGAGACAAATCACCTCGGAGCACTAGTGCCCCGGAAAGAACCGCTATAGAAAAAAATCAACACAATCAGAAGAGAAGAACAATCCAATTGGATCATACCTCTACTAAAAATCTCTGAGAGTTGATGCCACCATCAGATAGTTTGTATCATTTTGTGTCTGCTTTGAGGCTTTCATAGCGGTTGGCGCCTTTGGAGAGCAGCAGCAATGAGCCGATGGCCTTGGCAAACCCTACTTCGTGAGTCGATGGCCTTATGGGCTTAGGTATTGTGCTCTTCATAGTACTCCCTCCGTCCCGCAAAGAACTTCCCGATTTGAACTACACACATATTAAGGAAATAAACTTACCAGGGGATAAATTTTACTGTTTTGACACTGTTTGACGTCGTTTTGCACTGTTTGACACTGTTTTGATGTAGATAACTTCCCATTTAAGGAAAGGGGAACTTCTTTTTGGGACTGCTAAAAAAGGAAAACGGGAAGTTCTTTGCGGGACGGAGGGAGTATTATTTATTAATTAAGCAAATAATTATTGTTCTTATTTGCTTTATTCTTATTTAATCCGACAAGGCCAAAACATTCAAACCACACTAAACCACATCAGAATAATTCAGCCCACACCAAAAACATCTAGACGAAACTAGACCAAACCAAAATAGACAAAAAAATTGATCCGAACATATCAGATCACATTTTTTCCAAATTGGATTTTTTCAAATTCAGATCGGAACACACTTTTTGAGGTACGGGGAGCAGGTCAAAAGTGACACCAGAATCACTTTGCCCATCTTTCATTACAAACTACCGTGCAAAAAGACTAGAACAGTATATGACGGGGAATCATAATTTATCTAGTGGAGCTCTACTTATTTATGCATTTCTAACCTCGCATGCTTGGTAGTACAAATAGTTTTTCTTTTAGCTGGATATATATATATATATATATATATATATATATATATATATATATATATATATAGAGAGAGAGAGAGAGAGAGTCTTCCTGTCCAGCCAGCCTGTCGGGAACCGCAGTCCGGCCGAGGGCATTTCGGGACCTTCCCGGTGGAATTTTTCGATGAAATTTTGTGAGCATGTTCTTCATCAAGTTTAGTTTATCCATTCCAATTTTCAGATACAAATTCAACCGGGAAGGCTGTCAAACGTGTAATTGAAAAAGAATGCGCTGTTTATATATATATATATATATATATATATATATATATAAAGCGCAATTATCTTCAAAATATTATTTGACTGTCTTCCCGATTGAATTTTTAGGTGAAATTTGGTATGTACAAACTAGAATTGATGAAGAACATGCTCAAAAAATTTCATCAAAAAAATCTACAGGGAAGGTCCCGATATGCCCTCATCCGGACGGCGTTTAACGTCAGGCCGACGGGACATGAATTGTCTTATATAATTATATACACACACACATACATGTATAGAAAGATGAATAAAAAAAAAAAAGCCAGGGTTTTGGTAGATAGCCGTCTCAACATCCAAATCGAATTCCATCAAATTAGGATAATGATCAAGTGATGTGTAGCTTTTAATCAAAGAAGATTAACTAACAAAATACATGCAATACATTTAGATGAAGAGACATAATTGTAAACAATAAGACTTCAGATCTATGACCACTTGATAGAAATCAGGCCTATTATGCTAAAAAAAGAAATAGTAATGATAATAATAAGTGTACATGTAGTATAAATAGAAGGAGAAGGGAGAAGAAAGAGGTAGATAAGTATTCAGTTGAGTTAGACTTGGGAGATTGGGCATCTCGAATGGTCCCTGAGCACTGTATTCCTTCTGTACATACCTATTCTTCTCAATAAAGCTTTCTAGATCATCTTCTTGATCAATTCTTCCTGATTTTCTACTGTTCTTAGTTGAATTATACCAGTGTTCTATCATTGGTATCAGAGCAGTCGATTTTGGTGCTCAGAATAGTGTCGCAATACCAGAAAATTTCCGTTTCAGTTGTGGAAGGTCTGGACGAGAACCAAAAATGGAGAACAGAATGGAAACCATAAAGCGGAACCATACCACGATGGAAAAAGTTGCGATGAATTTGGTGACAATACAGGAGACACTCGCGAAGATGAACAGCAACCAAAATCGACCAAGGAATCAATCGCTCACTCCGCGCAGCTCGCAGCCCACTTCACATCGCACTTCGCATCTCGGAGACGCGAGAAATTCTGATCATTATCGTTCTAGTGTGAATCGCGATAACAATATAAGACCTATTCGTACGGGAACAAAGGTTTATTTAACGATGTTTAACGGGGATGATGCGGACAGTTGGATTGTTAGGATGGAAGGATATTTCTGTCTCAAGGCTACTGCGGAAAAAAATAAAGTTGAAGTAGCAGTAGGTTCCATGGTGGGTAACTCAAACGAGAGCAAAGAACTGGGAGGCTCTAAAGGAGGCCATAACTCGGCGTTTCCAACTTAAACGCAGTCGGCAGACAGAGAACCACGATTCGCGATCGCCAAGAACTTCTTTCAGTTCGAAATCTTTGTCACGAACTGTTTCTCACAGTTCATCATCGCGAGTCGATTCCCTCATTCATTCGCAGATATCATCGCCATCGCAAATAGCTTCTACCAGTTCGCAGGTTTCCTCGCCAATATCTTTTTCCAGTTTGCAATCTTCTCCGCAAGCCGTGTCTCCAGGTTCGCAGACTTCATCATACGCTAGCAGTTCACTTCAAGGTATGATGCGACCAGAAGAAGAAGCTTCCAGTTCGCCATTGCTGTCTGATTCGCCGGAGTCTGGCAAGCCATGACAACCTCTCTCTGAAGATACGTTCATCGATGATGATGATGATGAGGGACGAGAGGAAAAATCTGCTGTGGTGACTCAATCCTCTATTTTCATGGAATATGAACCTTTCGTTGATAAATTTACTGGTTCAAATACTTGGGAAAGCTCTACAGGGACTGTGCACATCGAGGAGACTGAGGAAATAGAAGAAGGGAATGATGGAAAGAAGTTTCAGGGAATCATCAGTGCAGACAGAGAAACAAATCAAACAAGGATGGATAAATAAGATTGAAAACCATGGTTGTGTTGTTCGGTTCTACAATGGCTTGCAAGGTTTTACTTCCGAGTCTGAGTGTGGATTAGATCCGAGCTCTGAATCAAACTCAAGTTATCAGGTTGCACCAAAGAGGAAGTTAGTTGGGCATCTTACTGTTTTGAAGAAATTCTTGTATATTTCTGGTGCATGCAGACTCGTGTGACTACATTAAGTAAGGAGGTTAAGATTGCCAATAATGGAATACTTGCTGGTGGCTCAGGACTAAATCTGTCAGCAGTTCAATATGTTATCCTTTTGGGACTAACAAGGGAACCTGCACACATGTTACAGGCTGGAGAAAGAGTTCATGGACAAGAGCAAAAGAATGCGGTCAACCTGTATATTCTTTGTGCAAAGGATGCCTCGGATGAAGTTCATTGGCAGAATTTATATACAAGTTTGCATCAAGTTTCATCGGCATGGAATGGAAGGTATGAGGCAGTCCAGGAAATAGAGGTTGATACTGTTTCTTACCTTGAAAGAACTGCTGGAATTGAAGAAAAGTCATATGAGAGGAAAAAGGGTGAAAATCTTTCACAGCCAACAGAAAATGAGAATGGCTGCTATAAGGAATCAAATAAGATGATGACTAATGGTTATCAAGAGCAGAATGAGATCAAGAGTATAATTGGGACTGTTATATGCAAATAAAAGTATGGTTCATAATTCATATGTTTCTTTTGCTTGCGTGCATCTGGATGGAAAAGGTCTTAGTACCATTGATTCACCTACCAATTTGTGGATTGGTCCTTTGACAGGAAAGTTCAGAATTACAGATTCCATCACAGAGATAACAGGGGGGAAATTATGTGAAACAATATATGGAAGCCAATGAAAAGGTGAAATTCAAACAAGGTTTGAAAATGGCCTTGTCTCTTTCAGGTGAAGGAACTGTTTACCTGCAAGGAAATCAACTGTGGAAATCTTACATTGAAGATAGGAATTCTTGTTTGATAGATCACATCAACTATACAGAAGATTACAGAAAATGATATCAAGAACAACAGCAAACTTTATTAGCGATGAACAAGAATCTGGCCGAAGCCCCCAAAAGAAAGAGATAGGTCTCTAACTTCCCAGTCCAGACTAAACATCAAAACAGCCTACCTTTTCTCCTCCCCTCCCCTTCTATTTATACTACATGTATACAGTATACTTATTATTATTTTTATTTCTATTATTAGCCTAATGGGCCTGATTCCTATCAATACTCCCCCCCTAAACATCCACCTTGCCCTCAAGGTGGGTGATAGGAAACAGCCAAGATCTTCCGCTTTCTCTTCATCCTGGCACTTCTGCCTTCCCAATATCTCACTGGTTTCTGAGCAAGGAGCTTCAGTACTTGATCTTTACAATTCACAGATATTTCTGCAGCATAGAATATTTCTGGTGAAGTTTCATTTTCTTCCTTAGTCTTCAGGCCTTCAATAGCCACAAATATCTTCATGCTTTCCTGAGGTATATCCCTTACAACAGTAGCAGAATTTGTGTTCATGTCCTGAACATCAGGATTCTCATCCCTTTTAACTCCATTTGACTTTTCTCCCTTTGAGTTATGATTGACTGTAATGATGCTTTTCAGTAAAACAATGCCACCCTCTGCCGCACTTCGAGTACACCCAACATCATTCCACCCAACAACTCTCATAGAAATTCTCCAACAAAACCTCTCTGCCACTGCACGTTTCTCAAAAATAGAGTCCATTTTCACCTAGTGTCTTGAAACATAGAGTGGAGGAACCCAGGCTATCTTTAAAATGGCATAATCTTTGCTGGTATGAAGCAACACAGTAACAAAGTAACACTTTGTGAGCGAGAATACAAAATCAGCTCCTGCATTACCAAGTACAACAGCCATAATTCCTTGGTTCCATCCTTGCCAGTCAGAAGAAGGAAGTTTGCTTTCTCTAAAAGAACTCCAATCCTTGCTGCTGTTATTCAAGCTGGAGGGGTTGTTACAAGTGAGAGAACGAGTAATTGCTCCAGCTTCAGGTCCAAGATTAACTGAAGATTTCTTATTGCGTTCCTCTTCGCTATAGGTGTGCTGCTGATTAACCAACTCCTGCTGCGACTCTGGAAACTCAGAGAGAGATTTCAAACTGGGGTTGTCTGCTCGAGTCAAAGCCAGAGGTCCACAAGAAATTGCTTGCCAACTCAGAGAAGCGACTTGAGACCAAGAAGGCGAACAGTGAGAATCGATTGACGATGAAGACGTAGATTCTTCTCTCAATCGTTTCTTTCTTGGACGCGAACTGATAGCCAGTGAAGAATTCTGCGAATGTTGAGAAACTGTTCGCGGTTGCGAAATATGAGAAGAAGTTCGTGATTTCATCTGCGACTCCGTCTGCGATAGCGGATGATGTCTACTGCTCCTCGATCGATCTCCCGGTGCCCTGCAAAGCCTCTGGTCTTGATGCGAAAAAAAATATTTGGAATTACCTTATGATCCCTCTGCTCTAGCGGAATTTCTCGCGTGTCCATGATGCGAAGAACGATGCGACGTATGTAAAGTGTGCGAACTGCTTCGCGAACGACTATGTATCCTCTTCTCCAGATTCGCGATGCTCGCCTGTATCGCTGCCAAGATCGCCTTGGTCTGTTGCTGATTTCTCTCCAATGTTTCATCGAGTCTATTTTGGTTTTTCTCCCGTTCATTCATCCGTAAATCCATCTTCGTACGCGTCAAGACCATCCACAGTGATCGACGTTCTCTGATACCACTGATAGATCACATCAACTATACAGAAGATTACAGAAAATGATATCAAGAACAACAGCAAACTTTATTAGCGATGAACAAGAATCTGGCCGAAGCCCCCAAAAGAAAGAGATAGGTCTCTAACTTCCCAGTCCAGACGAAACATCAAAACAGCCTACCTTTTCTCCTTCCCTCCCCTTCTATTTATACTACATGTATACTTATTATTATTTTTATTTCTATTATTAGCCTAATGGGCCTGATTCCTATCATTGTTCCATACTTAAGAGAACTGCTGCTAGTATAGTGGATCTCCTTGCTTGCTTGCTGAAACCTTTTATGCCTTCCTTTTCGCATGAGGTAGGCAAAGAATTGAAAGAGGAAGAAGTTAAAAGGTACAGAGAGAAGTTTGCATCTAGTACAGAAACATGTGTTGTTATTGAGTGCTTAAAAGTTACTGACTTACTGAAGCGAATGAAACTTCATTAGATATCTCTTCTGCTGCTGAAATGTCTGTGATATCGAAAGATTTGGTATTGAAGTTCCTAGTCCAGCAATCAGTCAAGTACTGGGAGGGGAGAGGTGCAAGAATGAAGTGGAAGTGGAAGTGGAAGATCATGGTTGTTTCCTATCACCCACCTTGAGGACAAGGTGGTTGTTTAGGAGGGGGGGAGTATTGATAGGAATCGGGCCTATTATGCTAATGATAGAAATAGTAATGATAATAATAAGTGTACATGTAGTATAAATAGAAGGGGAAGGGAGGAAAAAGAGGTAGGCAAGTATTCAGTTGAGTTAGACTTGGGAGATTGGGCATCTTAAATGGTCCCTGAGCACTGTATTCCTTCTGTACATACCTATTCATCTCAATAAAGCTTTCTAGATCATCTTCTTGATCAATTCTTCCTGATTTTCTACTGTTTTTAGTTGAAATATACATTTAGATGAAGAGACATAATTGTAAACAATAAGACTTCAGATCTATGACCACTGCAGCATAAGACTCTTGTTTTGGACTGAGGCAGTATATATAAATAACTCTTTCGTGAAACATGACTCCCTTTAAGACTAAAAAATGAACATATTGGAATAACACTACTTTTTTAGATGGACGTCCACAAAAAGACGATAGTAACTTTTGCTAAAGCCTAATGTAGTATAATACCATGAAATACTACATATACTTTAAAGGTAAATTTACCTTACTCATGCATTCTATTACATTACATTCCATCACAGCTTACCAAATTCCTGAAGTACACTACAAACAGGGACGGAGGTACACTCAAAGCCAAGGGGGGCAATCCCCCCCCCCCCCCCCCAACTTTTCATTTTTCAATTAGTAGTATTAGGGTTTTTATTTTTGACCCCAACCTGTTATTCTTTAGTACTCCCTAGTCCATAAGTGAAATATCATAAGGCTGTATGGTGAAATATATGGGCGGCTCAGTGGCTCACTATTTGGAACATAAATTCCCGTTCAAATCATTTAATTTTAAAGCCTAGTCCAAGAATATTATCAAGAAAAAATAGGTTTGGGATACTTGGATGCAGTTGCAATATGCTGACTTGGAAAAATACGGAGTAGAGAGCAGAGAAAAAAATGGGTTCAATGGCTGAGCTAACTCTTAAGATTGAAATTTGAATTCTTTTTTTAATAAAATATTAGTCTTTATCTTAAGATTGCAATAAGTACTACGTACTTATTGACTAGCATACTAGTTTAAGTTTTTTGTTTCTTAGATATGTGATTCTCGTTTTCTTAATACTGTTAAAAAATAGGATTTTTTAGTACTTGAATAATTAGTTCAAAAATTAGGGAATACGGAGTACTTAACTAAGGAGTAACTATTTAGTATCGAAAGGAATTCTTAATTATTTAAGAAGGTGTTAGTATATATTATCACAGTTTAGAGATGAAATAAAGAGCTTAAGTTAATCTAACCTGCTCTGAAAAAATCATTTTAGGGCTCTTTAGTATTTATTTTACCATTTAAATATTTAATGAAATATTATACGGAGTACAAAATTATGTTAGAGTCTTGATATTTTCAATGTTTTAAATGAATATCAATACATTATTTAATATTTATTGTATTTTTATTTTATACGGAGTATGTTTTTATTTTTTATTTCACCCCGACCCCCTCTCAATCGAATCCTGGCTCCCCCCCCCCCCCCCCGACTACAAAGTTGTTAAAATTAATTGAAACATACACGATCTGTTCCATATTTTACATTTATATGGTCACTTTCCAACATAAAAAATGGGAGCACTAATTACATACACCCCAAAAAGGAAAGTGCGAATATTATAATTAGGAAAGAGATGGTGTATTCCTATTACCTTTAGGTCATGCTTGGAAATGTTACAAACAAATGCACAGACAATCCATAAGGTTAAAGGAAAATAGTATAAAGAAAAAACAAATTTCTCTTTGCACCCATTGGTTTACATGATAAATTATCTCATTATCCTGAAGGGAAATTATCAATAGACTAAAAACTTATAATTCTAATAAATGACTAGAAAATTTAAACATGCCTCCCTCCATATGAGTAGTACAAATTCTATTGGTAAATTTAGGGGAAAACTATTTAGTCATATTCCGATACTCAGCGCCTCTTTTGGTTATACTCTTGGTAATTTTCTTATTCTAAATTCCAAAATACACTTGATAATGGAGAGAATTAATTTTTTCTTCCCAGAAGTGTTTACAGTTGCCAAAGTAATTGTTAGCCGTCATAAAGTTACGAAAATGTAATGCAACTGACAAATTTTCAGTGGCCAAAGTATTCTCAAGACAAATCAAAACAACAAAACCTTAAATTTTGAGGAAAAATAAAAACAAAATGAGATTTTGACGAAAAACGAGTACCTGCGAATGCTTTCGAATTCTATTTTCCTGCGCTTCGTCTCAGAAGCCATGGCAGACATATACTACACAGTTCTTTATTGGAAGCGGCCTATTGCCTCGTATCAACCGAGTGCGACTCTGGAATTCGTAAGGGGATAGTGGGTTACGAAGAGGACTCTTGAATTTCTCGTGCATTCTTATCAAAGTATTTCATATTTATTTCTCGGTGCATAAATTTTATTAGTGTTCTATCTTGCCCCAATTTTGACAAGTTTTACCCATACCAAAAATAACAAAACAAAACTATGTAATTGAATTTTCCGCAAAGAAGAGAGAAATCATAGGAATCATAAATATTTTGCTGAAAAAAGAAAGTGACAAAATATTTAGGAAAAAAACAGAAAAAGAAATGATGGAGTATATGGCTCAGGGACCCCAGCCCACATTACAGCTGTTGCATTCAGGCCCAACAGGCCCCAAAACGAGTCAAACCCAGCAGAATGAAGCTCTAAGCAGCCCACATTTTGCATATGGGGTGCCTTCGGTGCCATGGCCGAAGGCTACCGTTTACGGATTCAAGCCCAGAAACATCACAGAAGAATAAGGCTTGAAAACCAAGCCTTCGGCAATTGGAGCCCTCGGCACTACGAGGCCCCCGGTACGCAGAGCCTTCGGACTGTCATCTACAGCCGAAGGCATCCTCCTCGACAGAATCTCCCATCCACATGCGCTGGATCAACGTACCAGGTACAAACGTCGCGTCCAACCACCGCATTTAATGCGGCCGCATGCGAGTGTCAGCGCCACCCCGGTTGCGGTGACCCCTCGACCACCAGAATACTGACATGTGTCCCTATCTAGCATTTATTACTACTATAAATAGATGTCCCTTTCCCCTCTGTAACACAACTTGGATACACATTCCATATTCGAACTCTTTATCTCTCAGACTTATTCGCTCTGACTTCTCTCTAAGTTACTCCCCGCAGTAACCCCTCGGATAAGCTACCCCCGGTACACTATCCATCATTTGGTGCTCTCGTTGAGAGCTCGAACAATCAAGTAAGAAACCCTCCCCTTCAGCTCAAAACACCTACCAAAATGGGAAGAACCACTCATGTTCAGTCCAAGAACCTTGAGGACAACAACCTGCCCCTCGATGAAGTCAACGCCCCTGGAGCCTCCAACAAGGCTCCCGAGGGCGGGGTCATCACTGAGTTGGAACAGGATGTTGTTGACCTGCGCCTTCAGCTTCAACAGAATGCTCTCGATGCCCGTGATGGCATCGAAACCCGAAGGAGGGACCGGAGCGAGAATCAAGTAAGCCCTCTGGTTCTCACCATTGACGTACAATTGGCATTCTCCGCCTTCATCCAAACACTCACCCAAAACCCAGGTGCCTTCGGCACTCTGGTACCCCTTCAACCAGAGATCGGGGAGAACGCTATGCCTCTCCCGCGTCCACCCCCCTCGGGTTAGGAATGACAAAGGGGTCGTGGCTCAAGACACTGCCTCCCAGGAAGTCCAATCCCGGGACCGCCATGGCGCAAACAAGGAAAGGCCCAGGACCTCTGCCCTCGAACGGCTCGGAGGGGCGCAAGACCGCCGAGGGGTCCAAGATCGCCTCGGCGGAAAGGTGTCCCAAAGACCCCAAGAAAGCGGGGGATCCGTTTCAAGGGCAAACGAGAGGCGTCCCCCTCAGGAAAAAGGAAAGGCACCACTACATGCTGATGACGCCAGGCACCAAATCAACCAGGCCCATTCGGCCCGTGATCAATCGCAGGGGGCGGAGGCCCTCCCGAAGGATCACAGGGATGAAATTATCGAGGCCCTCCAACGCCGCCTCGATGAGATGGAGGCCCGCCAAGCGCACACTACAGCTTACGCCTCACAGGCGGACCCCAAATACGCTGCCATGTTAGCCAAAATGGAGGACACGCATAAGAAGATGGTCGAAGGCTCCGGGGAACCTGTCATCCAACTCCGGACCATGACGCCATTTACCCCAGGGGTATTGGCGGCCCAGATTTCGGGAAAGTATCGAGGGCAACCCATCAAGCCCTACGAAGGAAAGACTGACCCCCAGGAGCACTACAGCAGATACCAAAACAACATGATGATGGTGGGGGCATCAGATGAATATTTGTGTCGTTGGTTCCTTTCCACCTTAAAAGGACCAGCATACGATTGGTTTAACCGATTGCCCGAAGGTAGCATTGACTCGTGGCAAGAACTCGCCCAGCGCTTCTTGATGCAGTTTGCGGGAAGGCGCCGGTCGAGAAAACACTTCTCCCATTTTCTAACGGTGAGGCAAATGAAGGAGGAGACCCTCCGGGATTTCTTGGAACGCTGGAGGCTGGAAACAGACAAAGTTGACGGAGCCGACGACGGGACCCTTCTGGCCCTCCTACAGACGGTCCTCCGAACCGGGAATTTCTCAAGGAGTCTCATCATTGAACCCCCTCGCGATTATATAAGGGCCCTCCAGCACAACCCGAAGGCTTGGGCCTAGCCCGAGCAGCAGCGCCCTCGGCCAGATGACCGGAACAGCCGAGGGCCGGGGGCTCAATTTCATCAATCCAAAGGCCCGACCCCCTCGGGTGTTCACCCCCGGCATGGCCAAGCCAACCCCGGCGGAGGTTACAAGCACAACCCGAAGGCTTGGGCCCAGCCCATCCTTCTATAACACCCTTGGACGTCTCTGACGCATCCCATCAGCGTCATTCTGGACTACGCCGAAGAGAGGGGCCTCGTGGAGCGTGACTCTCGCGCACCCCTTGAGGTATATGTTGTCAACCCCAATGAACCATATTGCCGCTTTCACCGTAATCAAGGGCACAGAACCGATGACTGCCACCAGCTGAAGGCAGCCATCGAAAGGCTTATACAGGCGGGCCATCTGTCCCAATTTGTCAGGGGCCCTCAGCCTCAAGGGCCCCCGCGAGGACCGCCGGTGAGGTAAAATGCTTGGGTTAATCCAAACACCATTCCCTCGATGACCCGAAGGGTAAGAAAAGGGAGATCGGGAATCTTGAAGAAGAGGAGGAGGAACACCACCACTACCAGGGGAAGAAATGCCATATCCTCATGATCACAGGCGGCAACACAGGGGGAGACTCCACGAGCCAGAGGAAGAAGTGGGCACAATCACTTTATGTGGGGGAAATCACTCATATGCCCCCCGTAAAACGACTGAGGGATGAACCCATTATGTTCACCAACGCAGATCTCCCCCCGGTTTCCTTCCCTCACAGGGATGCGCTGGTAATACAAAGTGAGATCAACGACACCATCATCCACTGAACTTACGTTGATACAGATAGCTCCGTCAACGTAATGTACCTCAGCACTTTCAAGGAGCTTCACCTAGAGAGGGATTGCCTTCATTGAATACTAAAGTCGAAGGGTTCAAGGAGCTGCACCTAGAGAGGAGTTGCCTTCGGCCCATCTGGACCCCCCTGTCCGGCTTCACCGGAGACACCATAGACTCCGAGGGGGTGGTGACCCTCCCAGTACTCTTTGGCGACGGGCTCCATAGGGCCAAGCTCGAAGTTGAGTTCGTCATTGTCAACATTGACTGCGCCCACAACATTATCCTCGGCCGCCCGCCCTCGAGGACCTGGAGGCTATCATCTCCATGAGGCACTTATGTTTCAAATTCCCAGCTGAAGGAGGCATCGGCTACTCGAGGGGGAACCAAAAGCTCGCCCGCGTCTGCTATCTTCATATAACGAAGAAGGTTAGCAAGAATGAGTTCCGGGTAAACACCATTATCAGGACTGTCGAGGAAGAAGAGAAGAGGCTGAGGGCCGAACCAGCTGAGGAGGTAGAAGACTTCGCGCTCGATCCGGCCAAGCCGGAGAGAGTCGTGAAGATAGGAGTCAATCTCCCTAAAGATTTGAAGACCGGCATCACGAATGCCCTCCGTGCCTACTCCATTGTTTTTGAATGGGGGCCGGGGGATATGTCAGGAATTAGCCGAAGGGTCATCACTCACCGCATGTCGGTGGACCCTTCCTCCAAACCTGTGCAACAGAGAAGAAGACCCCTCTTGGCCGAGAGAAGGGATTTTGTGAAGAGGGAGGTCAGCATGCTCCTCTCCATCAAACACATCAAGGAGGTGAAATACCCCTCATGGCTGCCCAACGTGGTCCTCGCGCAGAAGCCACCCACCTTCCGCATGTGCGTGGACTACACCGATTTGAATAAGGCATGCCCAATGGACCCTTTCCCTCTACCAAACATTGATCAGTTGGTAGATGAGACAGCGGGGTGTGAAATCATGTCTTTCCTCGATGCCTTCCGCGGGTATCACCAGATCTTCATGCACGAGGAAGACGCTGAGAAAACAGCCTTCATGACTCCCGAAGGCATATTCTGCTACCTGGTCATGGCCTTCAACCTTAAGAACTCAGGCGCCACTTATACCCGAATGGTGGCCAGGGTCTTCCAAGCCGTTCTAGGGCAGACCATGGAGGCCTATGTTGACGACATGAACGTTAAGAGCAAACAATCGACATACCATGCTGACGACCTCCGGGAAATCTTCGCCATCATGCAAAAATTCAACCTTCGGCTAAATCCGAAGAAATGCACCTTCGGCGTCCAAGGAGGCAAGTTCTTGGGCTACATGGTGAGCCGAAGGGGTATTGAGGCCAACCCCGAGAAAATTCAGGCCATCGTCAACATTGAGCCCCCACGCAACGTAAAGGACGTCCAGCGGCTGACGGGCCGCCTGGCAGCCCTCAACCGCTTCCTATCCAAATCGGCGGAGAAGTCCTTACCCTTCTTCCAGATCATGAGGAAGACCGCCGACTTCCAATGGACTACCGAGTGCCAGGTGGCCTTCGACGAGCTGAAGCAGTACTTATCTTGACCCCATGTGCTCTCAAAGCCTAAGGTGGGGGAGACTTAATATCTCTACCTCGGCATCAGCCCTGCTGCCATCAACTCAGTGCTAATCCAGGAGGAAGACGACATTCAACATGCCATCTTCTATGTTATCAAGACTCTCAGGGAGGCAGAACTCGGATATTCTCCCGTGGTTAAAACGGTGTTAGCCATCGTTTGGACCGTCAAGAAGTTGGGCCACTACTTCCAAGCTCACCTAGTCCAGGTCCTCACACACCAACCCCTCGGCGCTTTGATGAGGAGCCCCACCAGCTCCTCCCGCATGGTGAAATGGGCCATCTTCCTCAGCCAATACAACATTGACATCCGTCCGAG